AGGCGGGACTAGCATAAGTCATTACGGATATAATAAGAGCTTTATGGAGGGTCAGTTTAATGTTAGCGCTCAATCGCTCACTTTTGAATAGGGAATATACTCTAATGAATGTTCTAAAGGCCTTGGCTTCGATCATTTCTATGTGTAATCTCCATGTAATTCTCTTATCGAAGATTACACCTAGATATTTTGCACTATTTACCAATGGAATTTTTCTTCCATTTAGAGTAAGACAAGATTCAGGCGATCGACGACCACAAGAGAAGTAGACTCCCTGAGTCATATCTTCATTAATTTTTATATTCCAGCGCTCGCACCAGGTGTCCATTGTGGTGAGGCCGCGCTGGAGTTTTCTAACAATAAAACCCTCCTTGCGATTTGTCGCATATAGAGAGGTGTCGTCCGCAAAGAGGGCCAGGTGAACACCATGTGTTTGGGGAGCATCATTAGTATACAAGTTAAAAAGAGTAGGGGAAGGGACAGAACCTTGTGGCACCCCTGCTTGCATTTCCCTTGGCGTTGACATTTCGCCTTCAACCGAGACCCTGAATTTACGTTTACAAAGAAAGGACCCAATAAGCTTGGTCAAAGTGTTAGAGAATTCCAATTTTGATAACTTAAACAGCAAGCCTGAGTGCCACGTGGTATCAAAGGCTTTTTCGATGTCCAAGAACACTGCAGCCGTAGACATTTTATTGTTGAAATTAAGGGTCACGTGGTCCGCCAGCCTCATACATTGCAATGTCGTGCTGTGACGTGCACGAAAACCAAACTGACTTGCGTTGAGCAGGCCTCTTTCTTCAATATGTTTACGGAGGAATTTTTTAAATTACCTTTTCGAATACTTTCATTGTCGTGGACAGGAGGCTGATCGGATGTAAATTTTGAGGAAATTTCGGGTCTTTACCCGGTTTAGGTAAAGTTATTATTTTTGCTTCCTTCCAAGTATTTGGAAAGTGAGAGGGCCGAAAAAAGTGATTGAATAAGTGAGTTAGGTGAACCAATGGTCGCCTTGGAAGGTGCCTGAGGCATTCATTTGGGATGCCGTCAATTCCACAGGCCTTTTTTAATTTCAGGGATTTTATTAATTTCTGAACGTCACATGGTCTGATCCTTAGAAGGGGGTTTTCATCCACGGCTTCCAGCAGAGCTTGAACTCTAGCCTCCACCCGCTCTTCATGGTTTTTATCGCACAGGTCATGTGGCGTGAACTGAGTTTCCAAACAGTCGGCAATTTCATTGGCTTTTTCAGAAGGATGAAATTTTAGGCCAGAAGAACCATGAATAGCAGTTGGTGCCCTTGGTCCGTCTCTCTGAAGGAGAGATTTCGCAATGGGCCATATACACTGAGGTGTGACTTCGGTGTTACTTATTTTTGTTTCCCACCGTTCAAGTGCCTTATTACGGTCATTCTCCTGATTGCTTTGGTGACCCAATTGACTGCCGTTTTACATGCTGGATCCCTGGTTTCTTGCCACAGTTTTCGTAGCCTCTGCTTGTATTTAATCAAACGATCTAGACCAGGAAGATCGTTGTTTAAGTCCGAAAGTGTAACTTTACTTGTCGACAGCCTATATGCCGAAGCAATAGAGGCTGCAAAGTCGCGTGCCGCTTTATCGGCTTCTACCCCCGAATTAATTTCTAGTTTAGGTGGTATTAATTCAGAAGCGAGGCTTTGAAACCGTTCCCAATCTGTAAATTTTTCAATGGGTTCCGAAAGATTCCTAATTTTAACGTGATCCAGTATGTGGAATATTATTGGTAGGTGATGTCAGTCCAAAATATCAGAGACGACGACATCCGACATTCTAATATTTTGGTGAACCATAATGTCTAACACGTCACCATTTCCCGCAGGGGAATAATGATTGGGGCACTGTGGTGCTGAGTTTTCGAAATCACTCATATCAAATAAATCCATAAGTTTCAAGCCTGAAGGGTTTGAAACTATGCTATTCCAAAAGGGGTTCTTAGCATTCAAATCATCTGCCAAAATAGACTTTCGTCTGAAGCTTATTAGCTCAATGATGTCAGCATCACTCCAGGCTTTGCCTGGAGATTTATAAACAGCTGCAAGCAACACTTCGCTATTACCAATTGGTATGCAGACCCCTGTCGCTTCTACTGAAACAAGGGGTGGTAGGTCTACATAATTATGGGGAATGCCTTTTCTTACTGCAACGGCAGTTCCGCCCTTTCTGCCCGACTGGCGGTCGATTCTATAAAAGTGGTAATTTGGAATAAAGAACCTCTCATGAGGTTTCAGATGTGTCTCTGAAAACAGGGCCACATCTACGTGTAGGTCTTGCAGCTGTTTACTGAGCTCATAGCGCTGCCTCCCAATGCCGTTCGCATTAAATGCTATGACTTTGAGGGGCCTATAAACTCTAGTGGCCATTTTGTTTCATTAAGTTTAGAGCGATTTTAGTTATGGCCATTATTTTGTCTTCCTCGGACACTGCACCACTGACCTCTGTCATAATTTGCTGTACTACAGTCATTACTCTCAACATATTGTCGAGAGATTGACTGTTTACATTAGAAGCCTGAACTGACTGACCTGTGTGTTGTTCCAGTACAGGAACCGGGACGGTCGGTTTCGTGACTGCTGGTGGGACTGCCACTGGTGTATGTAGAGTCTGAGACCGCTGCTCCTGCAACGTGTTGCCTCGGAGAGCCGCCGCGAAGGAGACTCCAGGAGTGACTATATTTGATGAGAACACCCTTCCTGTTGTGGTTTTGGGTGCTCTCTGCAATTTCCTCTTCTGCAGTTCCTCCTTCGCGTGACTGCAGCCGCGGTAGTTAGCGGGATGCGGTTTCTCCCCATCCTTCAACTCACAGTTACAGCACGCTGGAGTGGAGGTAGCGTTCTCTTTCTCGGGGCACTCTCTGTGCAGGTGGCCACCCCCGCACCACATGCAACGGGGAGGTTGCTTACAATTAGCCCAGACGTGGCCAAATTGTTGGCAGTTGTGACACTGCGTAAGGCCACTCTGTGCTCTATAAGCCTCGACCCGGATGGAAATATGGCAAAGGTTATTTAGTTTGAAAATATCTTGGGATTTTGCCGTCCTGGGTAAGGTTATAAGGAAGAGGGGAAGGTTTCTGGATATCCTTCCTTCTGAAGGCGACCCTCGGGTGGTTGTCATCTGCTTGACGCTAACCACGTCAAATCCCAGGGTCACCAATCCATCAGAAATATCTTCCGCCGGGGTGTTGTGGGGGAGGTGACGGATTACAGCCTTAATGGGTTTTAGGGACTTCGGAAAGAAGGTAAAATAGGAAAGTTTGTTGTTTGAGAGATAGGACTTGACGGCTTCGAAATCCGCCATACTTTTGGTGATGACTCTGGTCCCGCTTTTGGTATTACGGAACTCAAAGTCACCACTGACCACATTTTTAAGTTGCTTTTGTAAGTGAATGAGGTTCACTGTGGTCGTTATAATTATTGGGGGTGGCCTGCCTGCTCTACCTGATGAATCCACCTCCAGAGTAGTGGCTCCCTCCTCCAGCGCAGTGGCTCCGTTACCAGCAGTGTCGGTGTCCATTGTCGTCACCCTGAGAGGAGCAAAGTAGTTGCGGGTAGGCACCTCTTTGGTTTGGGTGTTGCCTGTGGCAGCCGCTGCCTTCTTTGAAGTCGGGGCGGACTCGGTTGTGCTCTGCCGTTTCCGCCTTCAGACCTCTTTGAAGTCTTCCTCTTGGGAGCCTTCGCCTGGGTTTTTGTTGCCTCCGATGTTCTGGCTTTCACTAGGGACTTCAGATCGTTCAGTGTAACTGTGTATCAATCGAATTGCCTCAAACGTTCGCATTTATACAGCGCTTGCTGCTAGCCCGCATACACATCATTACGCGCTCTAGCCAATCAGCGCTCAGCAAATTTTCGCTCCGCCATCACACTTGGTATAAAAGGAGCAGCTCCAACCCGGCAGCATCAGGCGAAGCCCGGCACAGAAAGTATAAGAGGCTTAAAATTGGCGGCGGTCAGGCATACGACCGTTCAAATGACTAGACTGCCGTGGTAGCTAATACTACTAGGAAATATATATATACATATATAAAGAGCATAATCTGCTGTACCTAGCCTGGACTGACAGAGGCTGTGTATATATTGTACATAGAAGTAAGGATTAAGTGTGTATTTGTAAATGTATGTAAATACAGACAATAGACTTAATACAGACTGACTGACAGATGACAGACCCGACCTCTCGTCAGAGAGGGCGCTACACATGGACAGGACGGTAACTTTCATTGAAAAGAAATATCTGGTCATGAGCCCCAGCTGGGGCTCGACACCAAGACCGACAGACTGACTGACCGTCAGTTGCAACGTGACTCAGACTCAGACCGGCAGCATCAGTCAACGATCAGTCTACGATGAGCAGTCTACAATCAGCACACTTCGTCGCCAGCGCTCGGTCTTCGGAGGCATCGGCACTTCGCTGCGCCAGGCACGACTGCCTCGGCTGTCCGGCGGTCTCACACCCGACTCACTGGGCAACTCGGCCGCCTCGATTCGCCGGTAGTCATGCCCGACACACTGGGCAACTGGCTTAGCTATTGCCTCTCCACTCCAGGGACCGCGCTCGACAACCAGACTTCCACCAGCAGCTGCCCCACTGCGATCAAGCAACCTCCACCATCTGCCGCACTGCGATCAAGCAACGGCCGCACCGCGGCCAGTCCACACACCGCAACCAACATCCCTTCCTACCGGCGCGCGCGCGCTACTTCACCGGCCAAGCACTCAGCAACCAACGGTTCTTTTCAGGACCTACAAACTGTTCCGAAGAAGTAGGTTGTCATTGAAGTAACGCGAAGACCAAAAAAAAAAAAAAAACCCCACAACAGAAATCAGGTACAGCTAATATTCGATATGTTAATTGATACGTGTTTGTAAGTGTATATTATAATGTTGGCACCACAACTGGGCATGGTTCGTGTTGAAGCTATGGTACGTAGTAATCCGTGATGCAGCTTTCGATTGTGCCCATCAATAACAGTGATAACAGTATAAGACGTATAAGACGTGTGGTTTGGAGCTTGGAGGGCTGGAGTGGTTGTAGTTTTGTCGTAGAAGTTGCGAGATTTGCGACTCTAACTGTCCGGCGTGTTTGTTTAGCTTTTTAAATTTACATTTATGGACGACGAAATGTTACTACTTGCACAAGATGAGTTATTCGTCGGTCTTCAAGTAGCCCAGAACCTGAAATAGGATTGGAGAAATGAGCCGAAAGAATAGCGAGGTAATATGGACCGAAAAGCCATCTCTTTCGGCACTTTTAATTAAATTACATTATTTGTCAAGAACAGCCACAATTTTATTAGGTTTTTCATAGAAGTGTAACCGAAATATGCATGTATGCCACACCTATTGTACAGACCATAAATCCAACTTCAACCTTTGTTGTTAGTGTGAAGATGAATGGTCTGAGATACAGCGACGATTTGAGAAGGAGGGATTGGATTTTGAAAGTCTATGTGTTGAGGAGCGTGTGCTTCATGTATGGCGATGGCTGGTGGATGCAGAGAGCAATTTACGAAGCTCACGCAGGCAGTTGGACAAGTTACGTGATCTTAGGAGTGAAGAACTGGAGGTAGGATTAACCTTGGTAACTATGCTACTCTGCTCTTACATGTCACTGAATTTTGTATGATAGAGGGTTCTGAATAACAACTTTACAGTACGTTTATTACATACCTGTACCTGCATTTTAAATTTATGTATTTCTTAAGTTTAACATAAATATCATAATTTACCCAATTCTCCCAACTTTTCCCTGAACTTCGATTCCGTTTTACATTATTTATTTATTTCGTCACTATAGATCATTGTTACATGATATAGGACAAGTCAGTTACTACGATTAGTTTTTTTTGCATCTGTATGTAATTTCTACCGCTTGTTCTCTATTTTCTAAGTATGTTTGGAACCACCTTAGTGTAACCCCTCGTATTCCCATTCTTTCCGTCTTACTTAGCAATATATCATGATCTACTAGGTCGAACGCTTTTGATAAATCCAAAAATATTCCTATGCTCGTTTCTTTTTATCTAGTGCTTTGTAAACCGTTTTTGTAAATTCTGTGATTGCTGTATGTGTTGATTTTCCTTTGCAGAATCCTTGCTGTTTATTGTTTTTTATGCTGTACTTATTTATGAATGATAAAAGTCTGTTGTGTATAATTTTTTGATTATTTTAGAAAAAACCGAAATTAATGACACTGGCCTGTAGTTCCCAACCCAAATACAAATAATTCTAACTTGCTATAGTTAGTCACCATATTGTGTATACTTGATAAGCATGTAACTGTGCCATAGCTCAAGCTGTTAGCTTTTTTCGTCTTTTAATATCTCAGATTTTAGCACACTTCATTTATGCACAGATGGACCCAAACACCATTCTTCAGTTATCCCATTGAGACTGTATTTGACGTACTTGTATACCGTTTTTTTTTTTATGTGAGGCCTTGAGGTCTTGTAGAAGTTCACCAGTGTTTCAGAGAAACATACAGCCTCTGTCTTGAGGGCGAAAGATACGCTACGTAATGATCCAATAACAAGCCGATCCCAAAGATGGTGGCAAGGTGTTCCACCAAACCATCAGCAAACTTCTGTAGAACCTCACAGCATCACATTGCAGACGCCAATAGGCCTACTCATCATGGTCACTGCTGTGAGAATCTCAAATTCAACACATTTTACTTATTCAGGAAATAGGATTATAGGGCGAATGAAAGTGAACAGAAACAAATGTTAATGTAGAAACAGTGATTATGAAGTTTGGGGTTGAAGGAAGGATACCTTGGTTAAAGTAAGGTAAGATGAAGTTGTCCTTGTGCTTAATTAATCAACCACTATGCCATATGGGTCAGTGTGAAGGTATAGCTCCACAATTCTTGACCTTGGTACTAGATGTGAGTGAGTGGTCAGCTTCATGCCCCTGTTGCTTTACCCCCCCCCCCCCACCGGGGAAGAACCCTGGGTACCCATTGGATAGGAGGTGGGATGGGCTACAGAGCTGAGCTGGATGCTGTGGAGTGGAGAAGAATCCTTTGTCACTGCTGAGAATTCAATCCTTGCTCATTGCTACACCAACTGAACTGTCCTGACTCTTTGGTTATAAGTTCTATAGATAAAGTTAGGAGCTTATATTTATATTGGTGAAGGATAATGGATGGGCTGATTTGTCTGTTGGAAGTAGGGTAAGTAGGATATCAGCACCATTGTTATGGATGCATTCAACATTGATTGCAAGGAAGTCAGAAATGGTTTACTTTATTGAGGCATTGAAAAAGTTTTAGTAATTTAAGCTCTTTGTTAGAACAGAATGGTGTTAGTGTGCGGCTCTATTGCACATACAACTTCTGACACATTCTGGCCTGCTTGCTTGTCACATGTAATTATTAATATCAGCATATTAAGTGGGAAGAAACCTTTCACAATTATATGTGATGGTTATGTGTATAGATAGTACTACACCACAAGTATGGTTGAGTGCATTTGTAGTTTACGTATGGCATGAAGGTCTGTTCATTTTGTGTAAAGCATAAATAAGTGGTCAACTCACATCTGTATGAGGTTAGGTATGGAAAAATTTATCACATCTTAGATATTTTGACATGATAGCTGGAAGCCAGACGAATGGCTGCAGAAGAAGTTGTCTGATATGAGGTAACAGCAAAATAAACAAGCATGGCTAGGCAATGAATAAACTCGCAACTATAGATGGATTTTTGGAAGCAGCGTTTTGTATTATGTCCATCCTGAGGCCATATGATGAGAACCAACAGGACAGTTGAGTTGGCAGTTGGTGAGTGCAGTTTGTGAACCATAATTGCATGGTTGGCCTTGAAGAAGCACCATGATTAGCAGCTAGAACCAAGTGATACATAGTGAAGACGGTAACCAAGTAATGACCAGTAAAGACTGTAACAGACTGAGAAGAATTAGTGTTTTCAGTAGTGACTTGTTAAGCGTGCAAATTAGTGAGACTCTTATAATCAGTTGTAGTTATGAGTTATAGGTGCCCAATAAATCCACTTACCAATACAAACCCCTTGTCAAGTTACTAATATGTGACAGTATTATACAGTAATGTTAAGTTGAATATCTTTAAATGTTGATAATGTATATTTTTTTATACTTTCAGACAGAAACTGGAAATAATGTGTTGTAAGATTGGGCTTTGATAATTAACTCCATGGAATGAAGTCCTGCTTGAGAAACTAATAGTTGCCCAGCCAGTCAAAGAATTACCAGGATTTTATGTAACCCAAAGGCTCATTGCAATGTTCACAAGAGCCTACCACTGTATCCAGTCTATATCCTCACATCCTGTTTCTTTAAGATCCATTTTAAAAATTCTCCCATCCTTGTCTAGGTCTTCCAAGCAGTCTGTTTCCTTCGGGTTCTTCCACCAAAACTGCTTTTCAAAGAATCTGTCTGTAGGCCCTGTGTAACATTTCATGACATGTTGTTCTTTTGTTCTTTGTTGTTAGCTCCTGCCAGCCCCAAGCTGTAGAACTTTGCACTTCGATACAATTTATAAAATAAAATGTTGCAAGGAAGAATGTGCACAGGAAGAACTAAAAAAGAATTGAGTACTTTTTAATACCTGTGGCTAACGAGAGCTAATAGTGGGATCAATAATGATGATCACCAGTTTTTATTAAAGTTTTATTTTGTCTTATTCATTTTTTTTAGGAGATGGAGAGCTATATTGGGCATATTCGAGATCTTGCAGAAAAGCGTGCTGACAATCTTGAGTCTGAGACTTTATCATTGCGCACAAAGCTTGAGTCTTCACAGCAACAGACTGCAACTCTTGCTACATTGCTGGAGAAAAGTGGGCTCCACTGTATTGCAGAAGAGTCACTGGGGGAACAGGTACAGTTTGAATTAAATGCTTAACAGGATGCTTGGGAGTTTGGAGGAGGAAGTGGTTGTAGACTATTGTAAGATACTATCGGAACATTTGCTTGAGAAATTGAGAACATGGAAAAGCTGCAGCTGAATCAGTCTTATATTCAAGTCTAGGATTTCCCCTATAGTAGATCAAAATTAAAGTTGTATCCATTCTTTGTTATGCATCATACCATGAAGGTGTATGGGGCACTGAATGTATAGCTGCATTTATACCTAAAGGGCCAGTTGAGTAGTCAATTTAATCCATGGTGACTTTACCTCTAGGGAGAGAGCCCTGGCATTCGTTGTGTAGGAGGTTGGATGGACTGCAGGGCTGGTTTGGATGCTGTGTGGAATAAAAGGTTTTATCCCTGCCAGGAATCTAACCATAATTCCTCAGTCATTCAACCCATAGTCTAGATGCCATACTGACTGAGCTATTCTGACTCTGTTATAGTAGATACAATAGCTAAATTGTAAAATGTACAAGAGAGTATTTAGAAAGAACAAAATCTTGAACACTCTTTAGAATGGTGTGAAAAGTCAAAATGTTTCATTGTCAGTTATCAGATAGTGCTTTCCTTTTGCATTATTTTGTGTGTTAGGGTAAACAAAATGCAGTCTGATTTAAGAAGATATAATTCAGCATGCCCTGTTGATTGTGAATTACATACCCTCACAGGGAAAACTCAACCGTCAAATAGAACATATATGGTATGGGTTAAAATCCTTTATTTATGGCAGTAAATAAATGTAAACATAGACATAAACATAAAATCCAGTTGTCAACCCTATTCTGCTGGAAAGTTGAAAATTTATGGTTCCCAGGTGATAAAGTTAAACCTCTTAGCCTGACATATGGCCACAGAGAAACGCCAAATAACTGCACCATGAACCTGAAGAAAGCTTCTCTCCTTGTGTAAGATATAGTTGTTAATGTTTTGATCTTTCCATGAACCATATGAATTCTCTTATCATTTGGATTATGTGAGAAAAGAATAATTCTGTGTTTTACAATTTAAGGTGACAGTTATTTCTAGCATATTGGAAATATATTGACAGTAGACTCTGTTTTTTAAGTAATTTAAAGTGGAAGTGGTTAAAGAAAGGCTTAAGGGATTAATGAAAGATCACCTGATGTGCTTAGGTTCCTCTGTACTAAAACGAGCCATTTCAGTGTCATCTCTGTGTCAGTCTGTATGTGTTTCCAGGTTGCATTTTTGATAGCAGACAGAGCAAAACTGATGGAGGAGATAGATATTTTGAAGAAACTGAAAATTTCCAATGGTGTGAATGGTTTGAGCAAAGAAGGAGATCTTCTGTCAGAAATAATAAAGGTGAAGTATACACAGTATTGTATTTGCATATGAATAAGTTACATGTGTCATTCCAGAGTCTGTGCTCTGTTTGCTGATTAGGCTGTTCCCATTTTCAAAATTCCCTTAATGTGTGACATGTGCTTCATTTAGTATATAATGATTAATTCATATGACTGGTGTCTGGCATGTAAGAGTGTTGTAGATCTCGAGAGATCCATATATAATTCAAGGCAGATGTAGTGACAGAACAACAAAACCAACATACTTGCAGAAAAAATCAGTTTACAATACACTAGGCCTACAGAACAAGTAATTGTGATTATGTAGTGAAATATATCACACCATTTACCAGCTAATTACAAACTGAAGAATTTTGTATGAAAAATGCACACTTAACAAAAGTTAGCTACCAGTGAAAGAGATGAATGACTTGTCTTACTTGGATCAATTGCCTGTTATGTACAAGGTGTGGCAATAAAGAAACCGGATTCATGCTCTAACCCTTTATTAAAAAAAAATCAGACAGTCGAAATGTTATCCCCTTCAATGTAGTCCCCTCCCCGATCCCTACACCGCTCCATGCGAATTTTCCACTGTTGGAAGCAGTGCTGCAGGTCATCTTGTGTTATGCTCTTCAAGAGTTGCGTCGCTTTTGCTTTCACTGCATCCACGGACTCGAACCTGGTCCCTTTCAGCGCAGACTTGATTTTTGGGAAGAGAAAAAGTCGCACGGTGCTAGGTCCGGAGAATACGGTGGATGTTCCATCACTGGAATGTTGTTTTTTGCCAAATACCTCTTCACAGATAGCGCGTTGTGTGCTGGCGCGTTGTCGTGATGAAGAACCCATGAGGCATTCTTCCACATGTCTGGTCTCCTTCGTCGCACACGTTCACGGAGGTACGTCAAAACATTTTTATAATAAACCTGATTGACAGTCTGACCTTCAGGCACCCAATCAATGTAGATTACCCCCCGGATATCGAAAAAAACAATCATCATTGCTTTGAATTTGGACTTGCTCATGCGCGCTTTCTTCTTCCTAGGGGATTTGGGGCTCTTCCAATGCATGGATTGTCGCTTAGTCTCTGGATCATATTGAAGAATCCAAGTTTCGTCACACGTAATTACGTTTTGGAAGAAATCAGGATCATTTTCAATGTTTTCAAGAGTGTCAACACAGCAATTCACTCGATGTTCCTTTTGCTGGGGGGTAAGGATTTTTGGCACCACTTTAGCACACACCTTTTTCATGCCCAGATCGTCGTGCAAAATCTGTCTAACACTTTCCTTATTGATGTTCGTAAGTTCAGAAATTGCTCGAATGCTCAGTCGACGATCTCTTCGAACAATTCTAGCGACCTTCTCCACATTCTCTGGAGTTTTCGCAGTGGGAGGACGGCCCGATTTTGGATCGTTCCCGACGTTTTTCCTACCCTCCATAAACTTCTTAAACCACTCGAAAACTTGCGTGCGAGATAGACACTGATCACCATATACTTCTGTCAACAAATTGTAAGTTTCAGTGGCAGATTTTCCAAGTTTTGTGAGGAATTTGATGTTAGCACGTTGTTCTGCATTAGCACTCAGCATTATTCCGACGGAGCTCAGAAACACGATCCGCTTCTAACAATGGTCGCGGCCAGACTAACCGATGCACGTGAATGAAACTTTGTGTGACGGTAGAGGGAAGTCCAAGGGTCAATGCCCTACCCTCCTCTTGGTCAATGACGTGGCCGGAAATGAGTCATAAAAGTAATCCGGGTTCTTTATTGCCACACCTTGTATTCTCTCAGCAGTTTCTTACAGTGGTCAGTACCTCCAGACTACAAGTTAAATGTGTTATTGCTTTACCCCCCTTACTTGGAGTACAGGGTATCTGTTCATAAAAAATGAAAATAACTGTTGTGACTAAATATAATATTTTGATATGTTAATTCTTATTGATGAATCTTTGTAATTTGGAAGTTATGTGTTATAAACATATAATATGTTTTGGACAACAGATGAGAAGACAAAGCAAACATTACCCGAGTTCAGACACCTCTTAGAAACTATAATTTTGCCTGTGGTTATGTATGGGGGTGAAACTTGGTCTCTCACATTAAGGGAGGGACATAGGTTGAGGATGTTTGAGAACAGGGTGTTGAGGAGAATATTTGGACCGAAGAGAGATGAAGTGACAGGAGGTTGGAGAAAACTGCATAATGAGGAGCTTCATAACTTGTACTCTTCTCCAAGTATAATTAGAATGATCAAGTCAAGGAGGATGAGGTGGGCAGGTCATGTAGCACGAATGGGGGAGATGAGGAATGCGTATAGGATATTGGTGGGAAAGCCAGAAGGAAGGAGACCACGGAAGACTAAGGCGAAGGTGGGTGGACAATATTAGAATGGATCTTAGAGAGATAGGATGGGATGGTATGGATTGGATAGATCTGGCTCAGGATAGGGACCAGTGGAGGGCTCTTGTGAACATGGTGATGAACCTTCGGGTTCCATAAAATGCTGGGAAATTCTTGAGTAGCTGCAGAATTCGCGGCTCCTCCAGAAGGGCTCAGCTCCATGAGTAAGTAAGTAAGTAAGTAAACATATAACATGAGTGGATTTGAGGCCTTCATCAGAATCTATGGCCCATGACACCCGTGAGAGCTTCAGATCCTTTGTACAGAGTACTATCCATGTCCTTTTCTTGTCAATTGTAGGTCTCCTCTGAGAAAGAAGTGCTACGCAGAGAGGTTGCAGAGATGTGTGACCGTGTGCAGCTCTTAGAAAAGGCCTCCAGGCAACTTGAACTGGATAATGAAAGACTTGCCTTCAAGGTGAGTATGAATGCATGCAAACCCCCCCCCAATTTAATTGTGTTAGTATAGACTGGGCCTGCATAATGTTTATTGAGTCTTGTTTTGTGGTAAGTAGTGTACATTAGTAGGGGTTCAGCTCATCTTTGAAATAAGCTACTGAAAGAATCTCTGATGAAGATCATTCTTGAAATAATTATCTTGCTTTGGGACATTTTCATTGCCACACATGGCCAGACATCTTCCATCTGTGGTTCTCACAGAGGATCTATTTCCTCTCAGATTTTACTTTGATACCTGATCCTAAGCTGTCTGACTCAATTCAACATTTAGATCCCCATGTTGCTGTCTGGCATTAGGTAGTCTGATAATTTTAAAAATTTGGAAAAAATAAATGGTTTTGAAGGGATAAGAATATTGAGCAGTTAAGTCCCTTGTACTGCGGCCACTTCTGGCCTATTGTACTAGCCACAGATGATAGTTGAGGGTGATTGTGTAGCAGTTGGTGGAATGAAGATTGCAAAGGAAACCGAAGTACTCGGAGAAAAGCTGCCCCAGTGCACTTTGTCCACCACAAATCTCACTTGACTAGACCTGGGATTGAACCTGATTACTTACGTTACTTATGCACCTGACTATCCAGTCAGTTATAATAAGTTGCAAGAAATTTGCAGCTACATAGTTTTGCCTATTTCAGTAACATACATGTTTTGCTATAGAGTTGAAACCAAAATGCTGTAAGTGATATTCTGTGAACATAGAGTTTAATTTTTCTTGTGTTGCATAAATTATGCAAACCAGAAATAGATGTCCTTCTTTCAAGATTTGACTATTGTTTAATCTACCTTTAGGTGAATCGGAAGTTCAAGAATAGATTTTATATGCAGTTGTATTCATTTTTGTCATCCTGAACATTAAAAACAGTAACATTTTGTAATAAAGATTTGGAACATAGTTCTTTGAAGAGTTATTCAGTTATTGTTTGGTCTTAAGCATGAACTTCAATTTATTTTTAGTTTTAGTTTCTGAAATAAAGCCCATAATCATCTTTTCAATCCTTACAATCATGCTCTTTCAAAATCTTCTTCTTTCTTTATCACCAATTTGATATGTAATGGCAGTTTAATTATAACTGCCGTGCTACTTCATGAGAACTACATTGAATTACATTATCCTTATGGAATGTGAAATGAGTTAAATGTATATGATGTGTGTTACTGAATACTGCATTTGTACGTCCTGAAGAGTAAATTGTAGCATCTGGACTGCTTGACATATGAACTAAGATACATGGTCATAAAAAATTTAATATAGATTCATGTAGAGATAATTAAAAATACTAATTAAGTGTAGCCATATGTGTGTGTGTTAGATTCAGTTCCTGTACATTATAAGACCCATCTCAGAGAATAGTAGTGAAGCAAGTTAACATGACACATCCTTATATAGATTTCATAATGCTTATAAAAATCCTTGCAAATTGAAACTGCTTAATTATTATTTGTTTTTCTCCACTAACCTCAGTTATCAGAAGCATTGGCTGAACTTGAAGAAAGGGAATCACAATTAAGACACTTAGGTCTGTGTGAGTAATATAATTTTATTAATGTGTCAAGATACAAAGCACATGAAATTAGTTTGTGTTTATGTACTTATTTATTTGTATGTGACATGTTTTATTTTTGCATGTACACATATACACAGTATTCAGCACTTGTTTAGATAATACCTGGAAACTATGTAGTTCTGCACAGAATATGTCAAAGAAAGTTTTGTGTATGACAGTCCATTATATATCAAATAGAGGAACTCCTGTTGTTGCACTTTAGCATGAACCATCAGAAACAGGATAAACCGAGCATGTATCTATGAGTAATAAGGGTCCTAATAATTGGGATTTCTGCTTTATATTCTCGAGGTTTGTAGGTCAATTACTATATACTGAATTTAATATGATCTTTTTCAGTTGTTCCAAACAAATGCTCATTTAGTATCTAGACACAAGCAATAACTGCTTCCATCTGAACTCATAGCTGTAATGGAACAATTCTTTTGGATATTATGATGGAATGAAGCAGCATTATACTGGAACGGACAATAACAACATTGAAGAAAGCGGTCTTCTGGGATTTGGCACCGTGTATATGTGGTGTTAACCGATGTTTCGGAGGAACGTATCGCCTCCATCTTCAGGGTAGAAGGAAAAATATAAGAAATCCGCAGACCGGTCTGCTTTTACCGGTTCTCACGATCTCTTTGCTTCTGGATTTCTTATATTTTTCCTTCTACCCTGAAGATGGAGGCGATACGTTCCTCCGAAACGTCGGTTAACACCACATATACATGGTGCCAAATCCCAGAAGACTGCTTTCTTCATAGTAACCGCCGTGAAAGCCTCAAATCTTACACAATAACAACATTGTTTGTACAAATGTTATTTTTCTGGACATCCATCATTCTGTTTTTATCTAAAACACTGTTGTGTTTTTATTTAAAAACAACATTTTGGAGACTAGATTCTGTCTCTGTCTTCAGGTGAAACCTACTCCAAAACGTGTTTTAAATAAAAACAGGGCAATGGATAATGTCCAGAAACATAATATTTATATTAATGTACCATTGTCACAAACTTTTAGATCTTATTGACATTGGTTATGTTTTATATACAGGATGACCTAATTTTTCATAAGTAGATCTGGGACATGTTTTAGGAAGAGGAGGAGGGTGGGAGATATGGAATAGAGGGGAATAGGGAATGGCATCTTCTGTTGTTATTTTCTAGCCCCACACCACTGATACTTAACTAATGAATGTATCTGCCTTACTTCAGTACTGGTTGTATGTGTCATTTGTGGAAATGATCTCTCCTCTGAAGAAGATGTAAGGTACCAAATAGACAAACAGCATATTCATCTAGATATTGAATATGTTTGGTTGAAATATCAACTTGATTAGAATGGCAGAATATATCGAGCCAGTGGATTTCACACCAGTTCTTTCTGCATATGCTCTGTCAGTTTAACTTATACAAATGTCCTACAGTATAGAATTATATAGTTCATCAGTATTTATATGTTTTCCAACTGACCTACATTCAATCTTTTGAGAACAAAATTGATTGCTTTTTAACACTATTCCCTTCAGGACAGATGTAAAATTTTAATGTCAATATGCCATTGAATGAACCTTCACTTAGCTTAAGATTCATGTACAAAACCAAAGGATGCATTAAGTGTATCCTGTCCTGTCTTTTAAAAGTATCATCTCATCTCTAGCCTTAACAGGCACTGATATGATCATTTTTCAGCTAATATGTTTTGCTTTCAGTGACTTCATTTTGTTAATTACTTTAAATGACAAAGTAGGCTACTGCTCTGTGCACTGTATTTCCATTGTAAAATGATTTGTTTGTGCAGAAATAGCAACTATAACTTCCTACTTCCATTTTAAATAGATTAAGTACACATCAACATGCACTTGGTTCATTGACCTCTTTATTCTTTTCTGAGAGGTGATCCGGCTCTGCTTGCTACCACCTTCATGCTGGTTTCTTGCTTGGTTTATTATTTGGCCTGAAGATGGATGGGACATGCTCCTCCAAAACGTTGGTTGACTTTCAGCCGACTACCCAGCCGTTGTATCACACAAGACAGAACTCTTCATAACCACTGCTGTTAGAACCTGAAATCCTATAGAACTCTTCATAACCACTGCTATAAGAACCTCAGATCCTATAGAACTCTTTATAACCACAGCTATGAAAGTCCAGGAGACGATGGGCAGAGTGTAGAATCAAACCATTACTTCCTTAGGCCCTTTTGATGACTATTTGGGATGATCTCCAGTTAAGGAGTACAATAAAAGGTAATGTAAGGTGAAGTTGTTCCTGTGCTTAACTAATTAAAGCCTGTGCCATGAAGGCATATGAATGAGTGGATGTATAGATCCACATTTTCTTGACCTCGGCCCTAGTTTGAGGTGAATGGTCAGGTTCATGCCCCACTTGGTTTACCCCCGGGGAAAGAGCCCCTAGTACTCATTCGATAGGCTGGGTGGGCCTCAGAGCTGGTCTGGATGACGTGTAGAAGACAAAATTCTTGACCTTTCCAGGTCTTGAACTCTGACCCCTCAGTCATCCAGCCCATAGCCAGTCGCTTAAGGGGTACAGTGCAGTAAGTAATTCAGTGAGACTGTTGTAATAGAACCCAGTTGTGTGTAATAACAGATAATGAATAAGAACAGTAATAGGGCCATAACATACATTGTGAGCTCTTGTATTTAGAACTGTGATCACTATTTTGATGTGGTTAATATCCAAGAATGTAGTTAGCACATTACAGGCCTAAAGCCAAATAGCAAAATAAACAAGTGAAACAATAAAAATAACAATTTTAAGAGTGACTGCACAAGGGGTAGGACTAGACAAGAAGTAAGATACAAACCTGGAGAACACAATAAAAATGAAAGTGAAACAAGGGCAAGACAATTTACAGGAACGAACACCCACCTTGCATTCCCAAAACAACAAGAGGTCCATCTAACCACCCCTAGGAAGCCCTTGCTACTAGAGAAGTGACCAGGTCGAAGACCAAATTGTAAATGCTGATCAGTACTTTGTAGTTCAACCATCAGGCAAAAGGGAAGGGGGTAGATAGGAAAATAGCAGGCAGGAAGAGAAGGGGGAAAGCACAAAGTGGATAGGAATGCAGCTCAAGGCTGTTTCAGAAAATTGTGTACACTGAGCTGCAAAAGACTAGGCTCAGTTGCAGTGAAGTAATCCAGCACTGTGATGTAGAGTATTATAGACTTATGAGTTAAGGTGTAGCTTTTCTCTGGGCATGTACTACTAATTGGTGTCTGCATTAGGAATTGGATTTGGTGCAAACTGAAAATAAACATATCATAAACACTTTGATGTCACATATCATAAGCCTGTGCAAGTTCTTTAAATCCAGAATATATGGTACCAGTTTTTTCTTACATTCCTAACTTTTGTTGCCATTTACATTGAAAGCTAATGTGTTCATGCCATACAAATTTTTAAAACATGATGACCATTCAAATTATTTTGATTTATGGTTTGTACTTATTAGCTGTAGTTGCATATCATGAAGATATTTTGCATCAGCCAATAAAGGCAGATGCTGGAACTCAACATATCCAACATTCATATGGTTATCCTTGAACTTCGTATTTCTGTGCAGTTGGTATTTATTTCATAGACTTTGTGTGCATATACAGATATTTCATATAAGAAATTGTGTTCCAGAATTTATGAATCGTAAATTTCCAATTAAATTCTGGGCTTAAGATAGTGACCTAAATGTTTGTTTTTAATTCTTTTAGTTTCATATTTTCAATTCATACTGAGTTTCTAAGCGACTGTTTTAATATGTTCAGTTAAATACTGCAGTTTAAATAGTACCCAGAGTTTAAATTGGAGCGGGTATTGACTCAAACATTTATGGTACCTCCAGATAGCTGGAAATTGCCAGTGGTGTGCTGACTGTATCAGACTATAAGACTCACCTGTGTTAAAGGAGTTTGTGCATGCTTATTTCTTTATATTTTGCATGGCAAATTATGTCTCCTGCACTTGGTCATATAAAGCCTCTGGCACCTAATATTGTGTTCTAGAGATTACTTTTCAGTACCAAGCGAAAGATGGTCTTCATAAAGACACCTTACATCTGCTTTTCCCTGTCTATGATTGATATAGTTCCTGTATGCAACCATGTCAGGCTGTTGATGAATGTTATCAGTCAATAATTTGAAGGAAACTGCAGCTTCTGAAGGATCTGTTGCTGATAACATCACCATGGTTTTGAAATGGTAGAACATGACAGTTTAAGAAAGGGCTATCCTGTAATTTGCTTTGTGACAGTAAGGGAAAACCACAATCAAGATGGGTGCCTTTTGGGCAGTTTATATCACTGTGTCATATTGTCACATGTTTTAGAAAACCATTAGAAGTGTTGATATAATAGTTCATGGACTGATGAAGTGTTAGAGGTATGAGAAACGAAAAGTTTCCTTTGAAGAAGTCTCCCTCTTCAGCAAATGGTTCTTCAGTGAGGCTATATTTGCAGTGGATATGCTACAAAGTTGAGATATATCATTTTTTCTTCAGTAACCTTACTACTCATTTTGTAATTCTGCCCATTATTCATTCATTGTCACCTACAACATTCATAGTAGATAGTTGCAGTAATTGGTATGATGTTGGTAAGTGCTTTACAGACCAATCAGTCCTGAGAGAAGGATTGTGCATTACAGTGAATGGAGGTGACCATGTGATACAGTCTGGTATAAACCTCCTGTGGACAGGGTTCCAGCTTGGAGACTCTCCACGACCACCCTGCAGGAGAAGTTTGTCTCTACAGCAGAAGGGAGACTCCCCTAGGAGCAGTTTCAAGCGTAGTAGCTCACCTCGGTCCGCTTCGAAGAAGAATCTGAGGTGAGTGTTAGGGCATAAGTGTTTAGTATGGTTACTGTTCTAGAGCCTAGGAGTGAATTATAAATTTTCGATGATAGAGAATAGAATTTTGTACATGTAGCTCAAATATGGATGTGGCATTTATGAAAACCACAAGGGGAAGTTCATTAGATTTATTAAAGTCAGCTGTCATTGCTTTCTCAGTGATCCACTGAAGTCATACTCACAAGGACCTGTTAATAATGGCAGTATTGAATTGGAGTGTATGTCACATGAGAAGGCAGATAGTCAGGAGGAAACAGGCACACAGACTGAAGTAGAGCAGGAGGACAACAAGGAGGCTGAACTTCACAAGTCACTCTCCTTAGGAGACAAAGATGTTGATGCCAAGTCACACAGTTTTGGGTAAGTTTGATTGTGTGCATCCTGTTCATGATTACCATTTTTTCTTGTATCATTGTGTTCTATTCAGTAACTACCAGTTATCCAGTATTTAAATATCTGTAATTGTCATCCAACTGGAAACAATTTCAAAGAAAATTTAAATCACAGATGTGCATATGTTCACCTACCACAAATTAGCTCTCCCATCCACCACCAGCAGTGCTGTCATTCTCATGCAGGTGACATTACAATAGAGGTTAGTTGAAATTGAACTTGAATGTGTCAGATATTTGCAGTTTAGGATTTCTTGCTTATAAACTGTGGTACATCCTTTGTATCCTACTCTGTTTGTCATTCTTGAATTAATTTTATGTTGATTTGTGAATAGTGCTGATTCTACTCCACCCAGCCTGTTGCTTAGTGGATTCAGTTCTCCCAAGAAGCTCTCCAGTCTTCTCGACTCACAGATAGCCGCATCAAGGAGTGAACTTGTCAGATTAGAGGAAACCAAGAAGTTGCAGGTACTTCAGTGATGATTTGCTTTGTGGAGCATGATCTTGTAATTAGAATGGCATTGTTTAGTTGAACCTTGTACAAAAAATACTGTATAATGGAAGAACTGTATAAAAAGTAAAGTGAAGCTATTTCTGTAACAGGCTGCGAAGGCCCATAGGGTTGTGAGACGAGGGTCCCACATTATCTAGACAATTGGCTCAAAGATGGCTGTAAGGTTGTCAGCCTTTCGCACCAGCCGCGCTTTACTCCCCCAAGAAATTTATTTAATTAATTCCTTGTACTCATTTTTGTTAAAGGCTGAGTGAACCCCAGGGCCATAGTGCGGCGGGAAGGATTAGGTCAATTGAAAAAAATCCAGTATTCCTTGCAAGATTGAAATTGATTAGTATATGAATGTATAACTTTACAGATATCGAAACGGTGCTCATTTTTGGGAAATGCAGGTTTCATTACATATTTGGTTTATTTTAAATGCTAACTTAAAAATCATTATTTTGGTAAGTATTTAATTGCATGCATCTCCTTTTCGTTTTTCAATGTTTTGTATTTAATTCCAAGAAACTTCCTCTTTACTCCAACATACATTACCATTTTTATATACAGTATTATAAGTTGACATATTGATAATGTGATTGCAGTATATTGATTGCTTATTAGGAAGAATGTTTCACAGCTGTCACAGTGTGTTATTGTAGGACATGGAGTCTCCCTGTAATGTTCTTCTGTATGTTAAATGATTGTAAGAATGACACTTCTCTTACGTATCAAATGGCATAGTGTATGGTTATTATCTCATCCAAGGAGGCATATTAAACTCAACTGTGCAAGTTTCTAAATTTTGTATAGTTTCCCTTTAAATTATGGGTTTTTATATTTCAGTTAGACTTTAATATCTCACTCATTTTCTGATTCTAAAGTGACAGAAAATTAAGGAATCATAAAAATTGCTTGGTATATACATAAATTTCATTCACATTCAACTAAATAATTTTCAGATTACAAGTACATTTGTCCTCACTCTCAAAAGAGTTTACATGTTCCTCTGCTGACTTTCACAGATCTGCTTGTGCAGTTTGTTTTTATAAATGGAATTAAAAATATATACTGCTTTCAGCAATCAGCTGAGATCAAGATGGGAACAACAGATTAGGAAAGGTGTCATGCAGATGGAAGAATATGGGACAGAATTAAAGTAGAAGAGCTTTAGGAAGGTAGAGGTAGGGGGAGAGGCTTGGTTGTTAGATGAACCACATAAAAGTGGAAATGTTAAAGAATGAAAACAAAGACAAAGAAGGTATGAAATATGGATACAGGATAAATACAGTATTACATATTTGTGACTCACCCCAAATCATATTAACTTGGGTAAAAATTCTGACACTTGGTGCTTCACTTTCAGCATTTAAATCATCACAGGACATATACCCTCCTGTCAGAGCAATGTGCACTTAGAAAGTGTTCAGTATTTGTAAAATTTCTATGAACTGAAATTATCGTGTTATGATACTTGAGCCGTGTCCCTCCCTGTGTGGGTCGAGAACCACGCTCTGCTACCACTTTGAGCCGTGGTCCTCGACCCTGTGGGCAAAGAACCCTGTTCTTTCACCCACTTTGACTCTTTAACTCCTGCTCAATATGGGTAAGGGACAGGCTCATAAGAAACGACTTGCTTGTGGTGTGATGCACTGTGCCTCCCTAAGATGGTGTAAGGGATCGTGGGGGAGGAAAACCACAGTCGGCACGATGGGCCAGGGTGGACGGATCCGCTAGTCAGAAGCTGGTATGGAACACACTGCACAAGTATACATAAACACCACTGGCGTTTCCAAACATTTAATAAATATATGTTAATAACATATGTATACAGATGGGCCTGCCTGAAGGGCAGTGACCGGTCAGAACATGTGATAAACGATTGATACAGAACTACACTGTGCCTAGCTGCACAGAACTCAAGTCAGGCTCGCCTCATGGCATCTCTCTACTTCTCCAGTACAAGCATGTACTTAGGCAAGCCTTGAGGGCACAAGGAAATATAAACAGCTTACATACATGCCTGAGGGGCGATCTGCTGTTTAGCACAACCTTAGACAAAACCAAATCATCCTACGCCACACAGTGTTCATAATCGAAGGAAAATGATTACTTCAGTAAGTCACTTACTTGTCTTCCTGAATTTACAAACTCAAAAGGATGGTCCATCCTTGACCATGTCATGAGGGCACTCTTCCCCCTTCAATCTATGCTGTGGGCCGAAAGCAAATTTCTAACCAAATGAATTCCACTTTCTGAAACCAAATTTAGACGCAGCAATGTTTCCACGGGAAGGCCAACAGGAAGAGAGAGTGAGACATTCACTTTTACTAACCAGGAAACTTCTGTCTACGTCCAGGAGGGGGGGGGAACTAGGTCAGCTGACCTGACGTCAGCCAAAGACTTTAACTGGAAAGAAAGGGAAACGGCTCGCATTCTGGCGTTTCGGGGGGGGGACTCCAAAGAACTTCACGAAGAAGAACCATTGCACGGTTCATACTTTACTGTACCTCACTTGTTTAATAACAGTCTATGTTTGTATGTATTCTGTTCTATTTCAGTCAGAGTGTGAGAATCTGAAGGGACAGTTATCTGCACTGAGTGAAAAGTACAATGCTTTAGCAATGAGGCATATACAATATAAATCTAAGCGCAAAGCTCAAGTGGAAGATCTCAGGTACATAATGTTTCATAATCTTTTCATCTCAAGTGGGTCATTGCAATCTCAATATTTTATTTCAGATGTTCGGTCAGAAATCCCATTGTCATACTCTTAAACTATTTTTAGAATACATTTGAGTAGACCAGAAAATGAGTAAAGTAAAGTAAAGCTATCCCTGTAACAGGCTGTGAAGGCTCATAGGGTTGTGAGATGTTGAGGTTCCCACATTATCTAGACAATCGTCTCACAGATGGCGGTAAGGTTGTCAGCCTTACGCGCCGGCCGCGCTTTACTCCCCAGGAAAATTGTTTAATTCCTGGTACTCATTTCTGTTAGAGGCTGAGTGAACCCCAGGGCCATAGTGCGTCCGGAAGGATTAGGTCAATCGGAAAAATCCCATGACCTCATCAGGACTTGAACCCGCGACCTTCCGGCTTGTAGCATAGTGCCTCAATTTACTATGCTACCCAGAAAATGAAGATTTTGGGTAAAGTTTAGTGATAAAAAAAAGACATAATCTAGTATCCCCCCACCCAAAAAAAATGTTTGAGCTCTCATTCTCAATTTTAGTTACATCTGAAATGTACAATGTGCTGAAAGTGGCGTGATTTTTTACTTGTTTCCCAGTATGTGAGTTTTTTACCAGTGTGTGTACCAGTCCATACTGGCTGGAAAAGAACACTGGTATAGTCATTAAACAGGGTCCTTTGCTGTTCCTCTTACATCTCATCTGACTTATATTTTTAAAAGAAAATATTTTTCTGTGTTCATCTACAGTAGTAGGAGGAAAGGGTACATAGATAAAATTGTTATAAACATTTTAAGAAGTAGAATTATTGAAGTGAATGATGTTGATTATACATAAATGTTCAGAATTAGTGCTAATATTATATACTGAATAAGCAGTCGTGGGCAGACTACAAGAGGTAATCCTCCAGCTTGGGGGTTGGGCCTGGGAATAACAACTCCTCACAATAAAAAAATAATCTTGTTACAAAATGTCACAAAGGGCCTCAGACCTGGACAGATTCTTTGGGTAAATGACCTAAGCTAAGGAATTTATTATACGAGGGGGGACCCAAAAATAACTNATTCACGCGGTTTTCTCTTTGGTCATCTCCGAGCAAGCGAGGAACAAATTTTGCAGACACCCGTCTCATGTGCAAACCTTCGGTTAAAATTCGCTGGACCGTGCTCCATGAGATGTTCGTTTCCTCACAAAGTTGGTCAATGGTCTTTCGACGATCTTCATCAAGCAAAATTTCACGCACACTCTTTGTTCCTTCTGGTCGGCCATCTCACTAATCGCCAAAGGGTTGAAACAGGAACGCACACAACAGAGCACCACAGACAAACCACTTTACTCAGACTGACGCCAGCTCACTAACAGTCGCGGGAGATCCCCAGCTAACACCACCTAGCAGCACAACCCGTAACTACAAAGCACGCGTGCGCAACAGGTCGGTTCTGGTTATTTTTGGGTCCTCCTTCGTATGCAGTATTGTCACATGTTAGTGATTAGACATGGGATTTTTACTGGTAATTGGATTTATTGGATGCTTATAACATGTAACTACAAGTAATTCTAACAGGCTCACTGATTTACACATTCTAATGATCACCATAACTACAAGACACATAAGGTCTTTATGTCTTTTGTAGTCATTGTTTGGGGCATGCTGTAGCGTAGTTGGTTGAGGCACTGTGCTACAAGCTGGAAGGTTGCAGGTTTCAAATCCTGATGAAGTCATTGGATTTTTATAGCTTACCTAATCATTCCAGCCACACTATGGCCCTGGGGTCGACTCAACCTCTAACAAAAATGAGTACAAAGAAAATCCCTGGGGGCAAAAGGCGGCCAGCGCATAAGGCTGACACACTCACTGGCATATGTAAGCCGACTCTAGAAAATGTGGGAGCCTCAACATCTCATGACCCTATGGTCCTCCACAGCCTGTTGCAGGGATACCTTTACTTTTACTTTACTTTTTTAGTAGTCATTGCTTATTAATGGCTCGCAACAGTGGAGATTCTTCACCTTCTGTGCTCATATCCTTGCCAGCTGGTGACCATCTCACAGGTGATTAACATCACAGTCCAAGTCAAAGTTGTGCTTCCTTGCTGTATAGCCTAGGCATGCATCATGCAGAAAACACTGATTCTAACATTTCGTGTATTGTCGTGTGACACATCAAGTGGGCTGTTGCCTAGTGATGGCCCTCATGTTTGTTGATGCGGGTTTGTGTGTTTACTGGTCATTGGCTGGCAATGGCCACCTCTTCTGGTTCCACTGTTTTGGCTTTCAGCTATTATGTCACAATATCTTAAAACAGTTCTTAAGAACCTACAGAGCTGGCTTTTTCTTCAACCCTGAAGATGGATGCGACATGTTCTTCTGAAACATCAGTTGACTTTCAGTGGACTACATGGCGTTATGTATGAGAAGAATTTTTCATAACCACTGCTGAGAGAATCTTAAATCTTCCCTTTATTCTTTATACCAGGAATAGACTGGATGTTGAATTAAGTTCTCTGCAGTGTCAAGTGGAAAATCTACAGTCACAGTTGACTGTGCAGAGAAAAATGCTAGCTACAGAGGAGAATTTCAGGGAGAGAGTTGAAGCAGACTATAGACAGCTACAAGAGGAGAAGAGAACCCTGGTTGTGAAGTAAGTAATTCTGTACATCAGATTCTCGAGAACTGTATTTTGAATCCATTTCTGTGAATGAAACCTGTCTTTTGTCTGCAGTTGAATAGGGAGTGTTATGAAATAATTTCCACACTGAATTTTTTTCTTAATACATTATGTGCTTAGGAGCTATTCCATGCTGTCCTCTACAAAGAAATTCCTTTGTGACCTGATGATAATGATATCATCAGATCCCTAAATCTTCAGAACTAATTTTAGATTTGTAAGAGAAGGATGTTATATGGGGCTTGGTCTGGGGAGTACAACAGTCATACAGTTTCTGTGCATGCAGAACAGACAGATAATTGTCATAGAGAAGCTGAACTCCAGTGTACCCTGGGATATTCTGATTTAATACCAGCATCCAAATGTCCAACAACAATGTGTACATAAGACTGTAAAGTCTTTAGTCACAGTTGATGTTACTACAGTGAATAGAAGGCAGTCTTTTATTGGGATTGTGTATTCTGTCATAGTAATAGAATGAGGTAGAAACTGAAAACACCTGTCAGAGATTTCTGCAGAGCTCTAGTAACCATTTTCTTGATGCTGTGGCTAGTTTTGTATTAGAAAATGTTTTGTTTTAAAATGTACATTTCCACTGTTTACACTTTGATCTTGAATATATGACAGTTGTAGTTATGGGAAATTCTTTCAGGCATTTATTTGTGATGCAGTCAGTATCTTCATTTATTTTGAGTTTGTTTCATATGTTGAATTAACCTTTATGAGCCGAAAGACACCATATGGGGACCTTTAAATTAAAGCCGAGATGGGCAAAGGACACCGTATGGGTATGTGCAGTCCATGCGTGCGCACAGTGTCTTAAAATCTAATTTTAAGTAGAAATTCTTGTTCTACTTACATTATTTTTGGACACCAGCTTTATAAGTAGACTGTCTTCCCTCCTGCATCATCTAACTGAATGTTGCATGTCACTGAATGCAGAGTCTGACGTCGCAATTCATGCACTTTCTCTGTAATTAACTATGTTTTCCATGCGAAGCGCGCACATGCAACAATTCAACTATGCACCATGGCCCCTTTTCGCATTGAAGTCGAAATTGAGAGGCCGCTCGTAAATCACACCATTCAGAATGTGTTACAGTTTATTCTGAAGGGACATGGAAGCAAGTGGTATGAGGTGATATTCCAAGAACTGCCTCTGTGTGGATATTCCGACATACGTGAATAAACAGAGTTTCATAAGGCAATGTAGGATAAGAACTTGCCCACACTCGGGTATACAGGAAGCCTACGTGACTGGAGAATGTGCAGTACGTAAATATCCTCTCCTACTGCCAGATAAAAAAACAGACAGTGGGTCAGCACCATGCATTTATACTGCAGAAACGTATTGTGCAGAAGCTTTATGCATTTTTGTGGACAGACGCTCAAAATTGGGGAAAATTTTTTTTGGAATCAGTGTAACAATTTTTACAGATTATAAAATCTGTCAATTACAGTATCTGATTCTATATACTTTCTAGATAAAAGTAGCATTTATTTCGTTCATTTATCACAAAAATTGTAGAAATCACAGCATTTTGAGTAACATGATTACAATTTTTATTACTCTACAGTGGCAGGCATTTAAATTAACTCCATCCTGCTGCCACTACCGGAATTTAAATGGCCCGTCCCATAAAGGTTAAAGATCATAAAACCGAGATTAACAGCTGTGCGGATCCGTTGTGCTGACCACGTGACATCCTCTCTCTGCTCTTGTTGGCACTAACTTCGCCAACAAGCAGCAGTTGCCCGGTCAGTATAGTTTGCTTGTGGACTCAAGCCACAGAGTTTTTTAAGTTTAATATGGTAAATTACTTGTTTTACTTTTTTTGATTTGTTTCATTCTGGTCCATCACACTAACAATTACAATATAAATCACTCTGCCCAATGTGACCTGTAAGTTTATTACTACATGAAAACTTAACACCCTTACATGTTTCGGTCTCTGCGGACCATCTTCAGAGGGCAAACATCACTACTTGTTTTACAGTTCTGAGTGTGTTAGCTATTGCTTGTCAGTGACTAACCAATGCTGTAAAAACTACAGTAGCAGTAAGAGAGCGTTGAACCTGTATTCCAATTAGGAAAACTGATTTAATTTTATCAACCCTCTGACGTTGGTATTTTGGCAGCTCAGATTTGTTTGTGTATGTCATGACGTATCAAGAAAGCATGGACTAATTCTAATATATATGGTGCAATCCAAAAGTTCCTGAAATTTGAATTTTGTGTGCGAATGGTTATGAGTACATGAAAAACCGCTAGGTGTCACACCACACACCCTTCTTGAATCAGTGTGGTAAGCGGCGTCGAGTTGAGTGGTTGGGTTTATTGTTGGTGAACATGTTTCCCTTGTTGTGTTTCTGTGAGTTTGTGGTTTTGTGATAGCTGACCTGCTCTCTCAGGTTAGCCATTGCAAAACCATAAGTTTTGTTTTAAACTTGGGAAAACCGTTGCAGAAACACGCCAAATGTTGAAGCAAGCTTTTGGTGACAACAGTAGGCCAGACACAAACTTATGACTGGTATAAGCGTTTCAAAAATGGCCGAACATCGACTGATGATGACAATTGTTCGCGACGGCTGTCAACTGGCACCACACCCGAAAATGTTGTGAAAGTTAGGGATCAGATTCTGCAAGATCATAGACTGACCATCCAAGACCTCTGTAACACCTTGGGACTAAGTTATGATACATGTCAACGAATTTTCTCAGAGGAACTGAACGCGAGGATTGTGGCGAAGTTTGTGCCACGACTGCTGCAAAATGAACAGAAGCAGTATTGCTTGGAGGTCTGCAGGGAACTTCAACAGCAGCTTCAAGAGGATCCAGACTTTCTTTCGACGGTTGTCACTGGTGACGAAAGTTGGGCTTATGGCTACGACCCTGAAAGTAAGCCACAATCGTCGCAATGGAAGAGCCCTTCTTCAAGTTGGCCAAAAAAAGCTTGACAAGTCAAGAGCAACATTAAGTCCATGTTGATCTGTTTTTTTGTATTGATGGGATTGTTCATAAGGAGTTCGTCCCGCCTGGTCAGAAAGTCAATAAAAGAGTTCTATTGCGATGTTCTAAGGCGTTTGAGGGAGGACATGAGGAGAAAACGTCCAGGGAAGTGGTGCACGAACAACTGGATACTCCACCATGACAACACAGGACCACATACGGCTTACGTTGTGCAGAAATTTGTGGCTAAAAACAAGATGGGAGTTGTTCCCCACCCAACGTACGCACAAGACTTAGTACCATGCGACTTCTCTCTTCCCCAAGATGAAATACAAGTTGAAGGGTCGAAGATTTGATACAGTTGAGGAAATTCAAGTGGAAATGCAGACAGTACTAAACACCCTAACAAAGAAAGACTTCCAGGATGCATTTCAAAAGTGGCAGAAATGCTGTGTTCGGTGTATGCACTCCCAAGGGGACTACTTTGAAGGTGCTGGTGCAGAATAAGATCCAGGTGAGACGTAATAGTTTTTATTAATATATTTCAGGAACCTTTGGAAATACACCATGTATATGAGAATACATAGTAAAGTTATAATTGCTCAGGTTTGTAAGAAATTGTGTCAAACATCAGGGGTTAAAGTTTATTTCTAGGTTTCATCCAGATACTTTATGTTAGTGTATTATTAACCTTGTGGATCTTGTAATATAATGTAAATAAATTTGTAGCACATCACAGGACAGAAGACAGCAATTACCAAAGAATTTTTTGATCAGTATTTATATTGAGGTCATGGAAAATTTCCATGGGTGGTGGGGACGTAAGTATTCCCCTTGTCTGTGTACTGTTGTATTCCTCTCCAGCCCAAGTTAGCCAGCTGAAGCTGTTGTCACTAGTGAACCATTCTTGTGAGGAGAACGGTTAGAGATGTGGGGCATAAGAGCTCTGTGGATAAGCGAAGCTGGTCAATCCATACATAGTACTTCTGCAGGTCCAGTACGGTTTTGTGTATGTTTTTTTATTGTCTGGTAGCATTTGTGGATGTTGTATATGAATGTAGGAGATCAGTAACTATTTGTGCAACTTTATTGTGTATATTCTACAGCTTTAATACACTGGGAGTCTGTAGACAAGCCTACTGCTATAAACGAATTTTGCTTCACTCCTTCTGATAGCTACCTTCAGCATGAAACTTAACATTGCAAATATCTGTAGAAAAATGTGCATATTAATAAAAATATTATGTCTTTAATTTCTGTCATTCATTCTTGGAGGTGACTGCATTCCGCAGGTACAATACCTGATTATGTACAGGCAGCCTGTTGATGATGTTATCTATCATTTGCCTTATGAAGGAATTCAAAATAACTTCTGACAGGATGACTACTTTTAAACCCAGATTCATATGTGTAGACACAGAATTGTGCATAGACCAAATGGCACAAAAACAACTGGGATTAGAATTTTGGTTATTACCAAACTCCAAGGGAAATTTCACAGAATGGATTTGTTTCCAAATCATATTTCCCGTTTTTTTGGTAGTAATTAATATAATTGTCATTTTCTGCAAGATTTTGGTAGCTTACTTTAAACATTAAATTAAATTCCTTTTGATGCATGTAATGTGTATGTTTATTTCCAGTGTCATGCATTTGGAGGCTTCAGTGCGTGAGAAAGATAGGGAGTTGTCTATACTTGGAAAGAAAATAACACTGTTGGAGAATGCTAACTCAGACCTTCTTGCCAAGGTACTGCAGCTCAAATATGCTTCAGGGCGGCAACATGGAGCTGTGCCAAAAAGCAACAGCATTGAAGGTGTTCTGACAGACTTGGGTACAGTATAGGTTTCAGTAGGAAGTAAGTGCACCAGATCCTTTAATTCAGAGAAGCAGATTGGAACAAAAATTTGTTCAATGTCAGTATAATATAGTACATAAAACATCATATTTCCACCATTGCAATGTATAGTGTTCTATAATTTATATATATATACACACCCCCTGTGCCATTATTTTTTCCTGCCATTTCATTGGTTTCAGTTCCTGTAAAATACATGTCATATCATTTGAATTTCCTGGGCTTTCACGCTCAACTATTTCATACAGCATGAAAACAGAGATACCAGGTGGCCCAAAAAATTGTTTTGTTAAAAAATGGGAAACTTGAATGACTGGAGATTTTAGTGTAAGTCATATAGAAAGTATATAAGCAAGCGTAGAGAAAAATTTATTCAGTTTGGTTGATATGGTGCAGAAAAAATATTTTCAATTTTCAATGTTGAAAGAAAGGGAGGTTGTTTACTACAACTTTTTTTTTTTAATTGAGGATGACTAGGGCCCCAATTTTTTTGGATAACAGTTTGAACCCAGCTTTTCCATTGGTTCATGGCTAATCGGATGCTGTCTTGTGATACAAAATGCCATGGACTTTTAACTTTTGATTGCAGTAACTTATAGATTTTGTACCCTCAAATATGATTTAAATTTGGAGAATCTGGTAATAATTGAGTGGATTTGACAAATTCATCTGTAGAGTCATCCATCATTTTCAGAAACAAGTAATAAAAAAAGTAAAGATGTTCCTGTAACAGGCTGTGGAGGCCCATAGGGTTGTAAATGTTGAGGTTCCCACATTTTTCTAGACGATCGGCTCATAGATGGCGGCAAGGTTGTCAGCCTTGTGCCCTGGCTGCCCATTACCCCCAAGAATATTCCAAGAATATTCCTGGGACTCATTTCTGTTAGAGGCTGAGTCGACCCAGGGCCATAGTGTGCCTGGAAGGATTAGCTCAGTTGAAGAAAATCCAATGACCTCATTGGGACTTGAACCTGTGACCGTCTGACTTGCAGCATAGTGCCTCAACCAACTACGCTACCGTGTGCCCCCAGAAACAAGTAATATGAACAGAAAATGCATGAATCTTGAATTTAAATATTACAGCTTTTATTCTAGTGTAATTGATTGAGGCACTGAGCTACAAGCTGGAAGGTCATTGAATTTTTCTCAACTGGCCTAATCCTTCCAGTCGCACTATGGCCCTGGGGTCGACTCAGCCTCTAACAGAAATGAGTGCCAGGAATATTCTTGGAATATTCTTGGGGGTAATGGGCGGCCGGTGTAGGGCTGACAACCTTGCCACCATCTATGAGCCAGTTGTCTAGAAAAATGTGGGGACCTGAACATCTCACAACCCTATGGACCTCCACGGCCTGTTACAGGGATACCTTTACTTTTTTTTTATTTTCCATGCATGTAATGTGCACCAGTTGTGCATAATACATCGTCATACTTAATTTTCAGTACCTTGGAAAACTTGGAAAAAAAGAAAGATTGTCTTAATTAAATTACTTAAAAATGGGAACAATTTTTGGCAAACCCTTTAACATAATATGATTCTTTGAAGGACAAACAGTTTCTAGCATGTTAGTGTCAGTCACAAAGTTATATGTAAACACAATTACTGAAAAGGAGTAACTGAAGTTTTTTATTGAATTCACGATTATTTACGCTGTTTACTTGCACTGTTTACTGATTTGAAATGTGTGGCATGTTTGGAAATTTGCCCTTAATGATGCCATTTTGCTACACTTGAGGACATTGAATCAAAATGTCCCTTATTACATTTTTTACTTATATGTTTATTTCAGTTATTTCTTCTCATGAGTAACACTGTATCTCTGGAATTAAAGGATTTTGGATAGGAAAGTAATGTGATAATGTACGTCTATTGCAAGCGTGTTGTCTCAGATTAATGTAAGTGGCAGATGTCACGAGGTAAAACATGAGAGTAGCTGAGGATTTCATCTCCGCAGGTGGACATATGTAATGAATTACTGCCAGGTGTAAAGTGAGGCTAGCAACGTATTTTTCTAGTCAGTATATAGTATTGTTATTTCTGAACACTTTGTCATTTGAAATGATAACTGTATATGCTCTCTTCTCATCTATATTGCTGATGTAGTGTTAGTTGCATATGGTTAAAATTTCTGGTGATGTTAACCCTGTGAGATCTGTTGATCTCAGTTCTCAACTTGAATTTTGGTCTCACATCTAGTCAGCATAATCTTATGTATAATGTGATATATATTATAAAATGACGTTTGAAATCTGTGCTCATGATGCTTATGGCTGCAGGTTTCTAAGACCTTAAAGTGTCTATTAAAAACACATTCCATTGTGGCCTATTTGGATAACAAACAGTGAACATTACATTCCTAACCAAGCGTAACATATAAATTTCTTTCAGTTAAATTTGAACAGCAATATTTTAGTTGCACAAAGCTGTTCTTCAGCCTTGGCTCTTGTATTGTAAAAAGCTGAGTTTCAAAGCGCCTCTAATTTGTTAAAGTGTGAGTAGTTAGTTTTCTTTGGCTGACAAGCGGATGAAAATGTGTCTTATCACAAATAATAAGCTAGGAGAAGATCTGAGCAACCAGTTAAGTAAGTAAAGAAGTACAAACTAAGTCCATATTACAGGGTCTTCCTTGGTACATTGATAGCTGTTCAGGCAGTTAACAAATTTACTGCTTGACAGAAGCTGAAGGTTCATCACTGTTCACGGAAACCTGACATTGTATCCATCCTGAACCATTTCAGTTCACTTCTCATCATATAGCTTAGTTCACTGAGATGCATTTTAATATTTGTTCAAATAGTTTCTTCCATTGAGATTTTCAACCAAAATTCTCTATATATTTCCTGTTTCATTGTGTGTAATAACTAGGGCCCAGATCTTTATGCGCTAAAAGTGGGACAATATGCACCAAAAATAAAACAATATGCACTCAAGAACAGGTCCCTTTATTCAGACTCAACTATTTACATGTATCATTCACTGCAGAAAGTAGCATCACAATAGGCAACTAGAAGTCTTTCAATGTTTTCTGGAGACAAACTGTGTCTGTTGTCTGTCAAAATGAGTTTGTAGGCTGAGAATGATCTTTCTACGTCAACTGACGTGATTGGACAGTATTTATACACTGGCGCCAAAGGTTTGGAACATTCATCTGGCAGAGATACCGTAATTCCACTCAAGTACTGACAAATTGACTGAATCTTTTTTAGTCCTGGGTTCGATTTCAGCACCTTTTCTAACTTGAATTTAATCTTCTCTCCAATTTCGCATGGAGTGGAATTCAGTGAACAAGTTGCTTTCTGAACACATTGAAGTGAGTCGTGAAGGAGTGCACCACAAGATTCTAAGCTCTCAGTGGCTTTTGAAAGTGTAGAAAAATGTTCATGGATAAAATTCACGTCTTGATAAACAGTATCACTTCCAAACACCACTTTTGCTTCATGGACACATGCATACTCATCTTCAAGTTTTGTAACCACTTCTTTTACTTGATCAAAATTCTCCTGATTAAATGAAACTGCCNAGTAGCATCACAATAGGCAACTAGAAGTCTTTCAATGTTTTCTGGAGACAAACTGTGTCTGTTGTCTGTCAAAATGAGTTTGTAGGCTGAGAATGATCTTTCTACGTCAACTGACGTGATTGGACAGTATTTATACACTGGCGCCAAAGGTTTGGAACATTCATCTGGCAGAGATACCGTAATTCCACTCAAGTACTGACAAATTGACTGAATCTTTTTTAGTCCTGGGTTCGATTTCAGCACCTTTTCTAACTTGAATTTAATCTTCTCTCCAATTTCGCATGGAGTGGAATTCAGTGAACAAGTTGCTTTCTGAACACATTGAAGTGAGTCGTGAAGGAGTGCACCACAAGATTCTAAGCTCTCAGTGGCTTTTGAAAGTGTAGAAAAATGTTCATGGATAAAATTCACGTCTTGATAAACAGTATCACTTCCAAACACCACTTTTGCTTCATGGACACATGCATACTCATCTTCAAGTTTTGTAACCACTTCTTTTACTTGATCAAAATTCTCCTGATTAAATGAAACTGCCGATATCCATGTCCCCCACCTAGTTAGGACAGGTTCAGGTGGCAGAGGAACCCGATNATCTTTCTACGTCAACTGACGTGATTGGACAGTATTTATACACTGGCGCCAAAGGTTTGGAACATTCATCTGGCAGAGATACCGTAATTCCACTCAAGTACTGACAAATTGACTGAATCTTTTTTAGTCCTGGGTTCGATTTCAGCACCTTTTCTAACTTGAATTTAATCTTCTCTCCAATTTCGCATGGAGTGGAATTCAGTGAACAAGTTGCTTTCTGAACACATTGAAGTGAGTCGTGAAGGAGTGCACCACAAGATTCTAAGCTCTCAGTGGCTTTTGAAAGTGTAGAAAAATGTTCATGGATAAAATTCACGTCTTGATAAACAGTATCACTTCCAAACACCACTTTTGCTTCATGGACACATGCATACTCATCTTCAAGTTTTGTAACCACTTCTTTTACTTGATCAAAATTCTCCTGATTAAATGAAACTGCCGATATCCATGTCCCCCACCTAGTTAGGACAGGTTCAGGTGGCAGAGGAACCCGATTTAGGCAATCTTTGTAGAACTGGACACGAGCTGGTGCTTTCAGAAACAGTTTTTTTCCCCACTTGCAATTAAATCGTTAACAGCTGGAAACTGTGCGCATATTTTTTCTGCAATATGGTGTAATCTGTGTGCTAAACAGGTTACATGTATAAGATTTGGATAAAATGCTTGCAAGGCCTTTGCTGCTTTCAACATATAGGAAGCTGTATCTGTGAGCAATACAAGCACCTTACCAACAATTATTCTCAATTTCAGATGGCCATATTAGTCACAGAGAATAATTTACAAATATTGATATTGTGCTATGGTTGGTTTTCTCTAGTACTTTCCAAGCAAGAAGATGAGGTTTGCTGGGTTTGTCTGGATGTAGCTTACCAACTTCGAAATTTGCTATGTATTGGCCACATAAATCAGTTGTCTCATCCACCGATATCCAGACACAGTTCCCTCTGATGTCAGAACGGATTGACTCCAGAGTAGATTCATACAGCAAAGGTAGACAATTTTTTCTAAGAGTTCATTCACCTGGGATTTTTTGAATTACACAGTATTTCTCCAGAAATGATCACAGAACTGGACTGCTTAATTTATTCCATGGAATGTTGCTGCATTCTAAAGCCTTACAAAGATCAGCAGAAAATGTATTAACAGAGGATTTGAGGTTGACCTGTGTAAGAAGTAGTTGTTGTGGTGTGCTATTCTTCTTCCCCTTTGTGGTAATATGTGCATTCATTGAGTGTTGTTCAAGTTGAAATTTCTTTTCACATTTTACTTCCTTTGCGCACACTTGACAGTACACGACGACACTGTCTGTTGAATAGTCACTATTCCCTGACACCCACCAAATTTTTAAATATCTACTGCTGCACTTTTCTTTAGGCATTTTCAGTACATGAACACTTTTTTGATGCAGACTATTAAAGTAAAGAGTAACACATTAACTGAAGAGACTTCTCTCGAGACCAACCCTCTCATGCTACTGTCTGCTGTGGTGGTCAGAGCAATCCAGGAAAATCCCACCCCCTCTCTTTCGAAATAGCCAAACCATCTGCTTGTATTGTAAGTGATAAAAGTGCTGTTACTCAGAGAGTGGAGAATGGCAACTGACAAGGGATGTCCAAAACAGGCAAAACCGATTTTGTTAGAGAACATTGAAATTATCCTTAATTCCAAACATATATGCAGAAATGTTTACAATATGCAATAACGACCAGAAACCCTCAAAATATGAATTTGCATATGTGCATATGCATTTTCAAAAAATCCAGGCCCTACTAATAACATGTCCCCCTCTTGTCTCTCTTGATTTAATCATCCTATCATTATGTGAAAAATACAAATTATGAAGCTCTCCATCATGCAGCTTCATGTTTCATCCTATTACCTGTTTCTTTCATTTCTAATATTCTCCATAACACTCTCAGACACTGCAACCTTCTTTTCTTCTCTTAGAGTGAGAGACCAGGTTTCACTACGTTACAAAACAACATGAGAAAGAATAGATGTATATTGTCATGTGTTGGGTATGCCCACGACAGATAACTTCACACCATATTGGATATACTGAATTTATTGCACATTCGCTCTTACATTTACACAGTTTAAAATTTTACAACTACTGCCATCAGCAGTATCACACTTACTTCTGCTGGAGTCACTGCCATTCACTTGATACAACTCGACTCATAACTCAATACTCACTACTCAATCCTTATGTAGCTTCCGCACTAACAATGCAGAAACCAGTTATGTGATAGCTACCACTGTTGCGTAACGTCGTGTTTACAGGCATTGCTAGGGAACGCTGCCTAGAGTTGTTTATTGCTGCGTAGTAACCGCAGTGTCCCTTGTTACGTCACCGCGGGAGGCGGCGGAGTGTTTACTGAGCGTTGTGTAATAATGGAAGGGGTGGGGGTATGTGACATCAATCGCGAGACCGCAGAGTTCACCTGACCCCTACTTCCCGTTGCGCCATCCACGTTACAGTATATTCTAATTATATTATGCATAGAAATTGGACACTATAGAAAATTCTGGACTGAGTGGTTGTGTTCATTTTATGAATTTAGTCTGCTTGTGATTTCATCATGCACAATATTTTGAGAAGTTACAGCTAGTGATGTTTTGCTCAATTCAACCTTCCATTTCATTCCAGTGTAAGCCTACTCCTGTCTTTCCATGTTGCAGTGTGTTTTTAATAGGTGCATTATGGTAAAAATGATACAAACTCCGTCCCAAGTGCAAACAATATATATTATATGTCTTTGATCTTGCTCTCTTCTACACTACATGTTTCGGCCTCTAACGGCCATCATCAGGTGTATACTCTTACGTTGCTGCTACACTGAACCCAGTCTAAAATTTAACATTTAAAAAACATTGTTATTTTCTTCGTTATTATCAACATCTACCTCGTTNAGCAGCGGCACGCACACAGGAAGACTACACAGAATAACACCTGTACAGTGTGGAAACAAGAACTAGCCGCTGCAGCACTTTAGACACAGGGCGAGTAACCCTAACAATTTTAAATTTTAAATTTAAATTTTAGTGAAAATTTTAAAGGATTTTAAAATTATAACTAAAGATTTTATAGTGCTACTACAGGAAAATCAAAATTGACGCGTGCAAAATAATCTACATACCAGACAGATATCAACGAGGTAGATGTTGATAATAACGAAGAAAATAACAATGTTTTTTAAATGTTAAATTTTAGACTGGGATCAGTGTGGCAGCAACGTAAAGAGTATACACCTGATGATGGCCGTTAGAGGCCGAAACATGTAGTGTAGAAGAGAGCAGGATCAAAGACATATAATATATATTGTTTGCACTTGAGACGAAGTTTGTATCATTTATCGTGTAGAGTGCAACAGGATGCTTAAATATAATATTGCATTATGGTATATCAGCAGCAGTCAACTCCTCAAAAGTCTCTATGTTGTTATGTTGTCATTTCATATAAAATGATAGCACTATTAGGTGGATGTGATTTGTGTATCCCTACCGAGGGAAGAGAGTTAATTTTGTAAGTGAAAGAAGATTTTATGTCTGTTTTAATTGAAAGTTTTTCATAATATTAGTATAATTCAAATATCATGAGTTCCATGTGTGGTATGTTGTAGAAAATTACATGTTTTATTGACATACTATTCAAAGAAACATTAATGCTGTTGGAAATTGCCAATAACGTACAAGCTTTTGTATTTTGACTGCAGTATATAGAAATGTGAATTGTAAAATGGAGGGTTTTTGAATTATGAAGAAATATTCTATATTTTTCAAATATATTTTGCCATAGAAGCATGTATTAATAAATTAGTTGGTGCTTAGACATGCACCAAATGTGTTTTGCAGTGTAACAGAAAAATCATTTGTACTCACTACTGTCCATCATAATCCCAGTCAGATTTGTTTTGTAAATATGTTGTAGGGGTGAGAAAACCTTAGTTACATACTGTACTGCTCCTCAGTCTATCAGTGTGAAGCCTAATTATCTAAATTGCACTGGGTTTTTTGCTTGCATTTATTTACAAAAAAAAAAATAGTTTCTCCTTTATTGAAACAAATGCTACAGCAAACACTTCAGTTTTGTTTATGTTCTTAATCGTTTCATCATCTTCATTTTTCTCAGTTTTACACTGGCATTTCATGTGCAGTACATGTATTCAAAACTTTGTCAAGAATACATTACAACTATTTTTTTTAGATTCAGGCTAATTTCTTCCTTTGTTTAATTCAAGCACCATACCAGAAAGATGTGTTGATGTATGGAAGTAAAATTTTACAATTTTTTAACTTTGACATTAGATGGAGGTGTGGTCTGCCTTAGCTCTGGCTCCTTTGTTCCCACAACCCACTGGGTATGAGATTTGGTGGGGTCTCAAACTGATCTCTATATGATGGTGAAGAAAAGAGTCCTTATTGCTGCCAGGAATTGAACTGCAGTCATCCAGCCTTTAGCTAGTCACTTTGCTGGCTAATCTGTTATGTATTCCTGGAATGCTGATTATTTTATTTATAAGCTAAACTTCTTCATTTAATATTTCATACATTGAATAAAACAGATGTTTGTTTGGCAGGAAGCATTCTCTCCAGCTTTAATTGTTAAATATGTACCCATTTATGTGGGTTTATCTCTGTTTTCCAGAATTACAGCTGAGTAAATTACTACCTCTTCAATTTTCGTGTACAGTGAAATCCTGATTTAGTGTTCCCACATTTAGTGAAATGTGTATTTAATGAATATTTTTTCTTGTCCCATCTGAAGCACAATATAAACAATATATTATTTTCCTTGTATTAAATGAATTTTGATTTAATAAATAATCTCCATTTATTGTAAGAAACTATTGACCTTCCAGAATTGGAGCCTCAATTTAGCGTAGTTATGATCAGAACATTGATAAGAATTTATGGTTTTTCTGTGCTGGAAATACAATTACCAAACAACCAGAATTTTGGCAAGTGGCAAGTTGAATACATATTGAAACCATGCAAATTGTGGCATCACAATTTGTTTTGATTATCATCTGAGGCTCATTCAGCATTCATTCCATGACTTTAATTATTTTAGAAGTTATTTTAATATTATTTGTGTATATAACTGTATTTATTTATGTAGGAACAGTTTATCAGTTTTGAATTTCAGGATCTCAGAGTAGTGATTGTGAAGAGTGCTGTCCTGTGGGATATATAGCTATGCAGTCTGGGAAAGTCAGCCAGTGTTGTTTGCTGGCTGCATCATGCAGGTTTCTTGCTTGGCTTACTCTTGAAGCCTACCTGTGAAACACTGGTTGACTTTCACCAGGCTGCATGGTAATATATCCCAGCAGATAGTAATCTTCAGATTCTTTAACTGTTCATGTAAAGAAGAACCATAATTGTATACAGTAAATATTACGAGAAGATGAATAATGTTCTGCATAGCCCCCTTTTGTGGAAACCGTAATGTTTCCTAAGAAAAGCCATTCCTCTAGAAATTCGTTAAATATGAATTTCTCTGTATATTCAGTTTCTTGTGCCAAATTTGCATGCCTGTTCACATTTTCTGCAGGTTTTTTTTAACATTTCTGCATAATGGAATGGCCATGTAAGTCCTAAGTATTTTTCCATTCTTGACTTTGTAGTGTACAAGACATTGTTGTGTAGTAGATTTAAGATGCTAGGAACTAAGATGAGTATTTTCTTCCATACATTAGTAGATTAAAAATTACATGAGCAGTATATATATATATATATATATATGATGGATAACTATAATGTGTAAAAGTAATTTTATTTCAGTATTATTATTTTTTTCACATACATTTTTAATTTTAGAATATATGGTACATTATGTTAAAACTCTGTAACATTTGCTGTACTTGTAACAGAAGTTCTCAGGGGTGATTAAGATCTCTGAGTTGCAATTTTAAATCCATATTCTTTGCTGAAATGTGAGATACAGAAAGACATTTCCTTATTCTGTGAATGAATGTTTGAATTTAGTTAGTTCTACCTTGAAAGAATCTATTGTCCATTTACTTTTGGTATTTGGGTCCCAAGTTCAAGTTTTATACAAATGGGATTGAATGTCTCAATTTCTTATTGCATTTCCAAGGTCCTTCTGCCTATAAACACATGACTTACAATACAATAATATAACAAGAAAACTGACCAAACAATGGACTCATTCTTTCTGTCGGCATGATTGAATGAATGAATGTTCCTAGTTGTATAAATGGTTTATAGACTGTCCAACTTTTAATAAGCTAAAGAAGTTAAACCTCAAATTAAAAAAGACATGAACAACATTTCTGTAGTGCTACTTCCTCCATACCAGATGCAATAATTATACTGCTGTCAGGCCTACTTTTTACTAGAGCCTTTTATGTGAAAATGGAGTGTACACGAAGATCATGTTGGCTTTTAAAATAGGTGAGACTGAATGCTATGCATTCTACTACCCCTTACACTCCAAAATAAATTGATCAGAGGATTAATGAAACATGATCATCTTCTGAAGTTATTTAATAATGAAATGTATGGAGAAATTAGGAAAAATAAGTTTTAGACTTATGAACTTGCTCTACTTTACTTCACTGTAGAATTTCCCTTTATTAAATCAAATTGTTTTAAGAGCAATAATCTTCTCCAAATCAAGTTCTAGATTACCATCACTGTTAAACATGGATTATGCCATTTTGCCTGTTGAAGCTATGATTGATTTTATTCAGTGAGAGCTGTTGTAATGATGTGCTAAGCAAAGAAGGGTTGAATGTATGTTTTTGAAAGAAACAGGCATTATGTCAATTTGACTAGTGCATTCCAACAGACTTGATTGATTGTTACAGGATATTGGTTAAGTATATTTGATTTTGCAGATTTTACATTCATTTGGTATAAGCAGCACGTGGCATTCCTCACTGAGGGGTTAATATATCTCCTCCTCCATTATCATTTTCTTGTCCTCACCCCTTTTTTCATTTTCTTCTTCTTGTTTCCATTTTATGCAGGTCTGTGAGTGAAATATCTCCAAACCTTTTATCTTCTCACAATCTTTCCTTTTTTATTGCTCACTATCTCTTTCTTCTTGGTGTCTTCCAGTACCTAGCCTGTCTTTCTGGGTCATCCCATTGGTTTTCTTTCCTTTAAATTTTAATTCCAAGACCCTTCTAAGTATCCTTCTTCTATCCACTGCATTTACATGATCAAACCATTCTAAGCCATTCTCCCCTAAATTAGTTAACAAATTTTGAATTTGGTAATTTGTATGTGACGTGATGTAATGAAGTTTTGTATTCTGGCAGTGTTTCATTTCATCTGATTAACTCTAA